AGAGGGAATTTTTCAAGGCTTAAATTAAGACAATACATTTTGGAGTCCGGAGCTGGAAATATCTAGATTCAAACCCAGCTTCTCCTTTGGCCAGTCTGTCTGGTCCAGGGCAAATTACATCCCAGCTCACAGCTTCTTTACTTGACAGGTCAACTGGCTTAGCTTAGCACAGCATGGAACAAGGTAATAAAAAGCTGAGGATAGTGTGAATGCTGTAGAGTCTAGCAGAAGAGGTGATGCTATGACAAGTGGACAGGTGGTATCTCTTTCAGAAATTATTTTTAAGATTCTGTTCTGAAATATTATGGGTATCTCTTAAAAGAAAAAACAAAACTTCACAACAGTGACTACATCAAACTGCCAGGATCTCAATAGTTTCCAAATAACTATGGAGAAGTGCAGGACCTCAAAACACCTGGAATCCTCTTGGTAAATACGGGTATCTGAAGCCCTTCAAGGGAATAATTAAATCATTTTGTGTAAAATCACTGTGACTCATGGGTTTCCTACCAGCAAACTGTCCAAATCTGCTGGATTTTCTCTAAAATAGATGTATTACTCCAATGTTGATTACCAAAAATCAGAATGATTTTTATGGTAGGGTTGCTCTTTTGATTTTCTTATTGCTGCAATGCTCAGTGTTTCACACCTTTTAAACATTTTCCTGCAAAACGGAATTTTCTATATGATCACATTCCCATAAATATACTGGCCAAAAGACTCTGTATCCAACCCTTTTATGTAGCTTTATAGGCTTCCTAATTTAAAAGAGAAGTACTTGTTTTGTTCTATGTTCAATATACTAAATTATTCAAATGGAGCTATCTATCTGCTACAAACATCACCAAGAATGATTTCAGAGCTATTTGAATGCCATTTCAGAGGATTTCCTCAAATAGTGAAAACATATTTAGAGGCACCAATATAACTCAATTTTACCCTTCGCTGAAAGAATGAGTCTCATACAGGTAGATGTAAGCAGGCAAAAAGAAGTCTGTTTCTTTTGTAAAAGGAAGCGGGTGCTGATTGAACTACGGCCTGCAGCTGGGCCAGGCCCATCTGCAAACGTTCTTCACATCACACTTTCACTCATACGTGACTTTTTGGTCATCAAAGTGCTGTGCTCACTCTGCAGTCGCTGGTTCAAGGAGTGCTGAGGTGCACTCATGGGTCATCCTGCCTAGTACCACTCCAGGAGTTGCTTTGAGGAGCGTTGTGGCTGAACTTGTCTGTTCTGGTCTGTCTCCATCTTCTTAGCCTATCGGTTTATTTAACTGAGCTATATCCTGCTCAATGTGTTCAACCTGTGCTAACTATAACTCTCTCACAGGTAGGTGAAGTAGTTCAGACTTGAGCTGTGCTCTCCTTGCACCAGGATGCAGCTTGGAATGGAAGCAATGGTGAGGAGAGCAGACTGCCCAGTCATAGAGGTAACTGACATGTACTGCCACAGTGGTAAATTCCCCTTACACACACACACCTGCCCTTAGTGCAAGCCTACCACTCCATACTTGCAAGAGCAGCAATGCCTCAGTTTTGACAGGAGACATTTTCAACCAAGGAACTTATCTTGCAGTGCCAAGAAAAGCAAGTTTTCCACGGTGTGAGGGAAAAACAACTACAACAGAAATAGAGGCCTATGATCAGTAAAAATTTTAATGCAGCTTCAGGCAAAGGAAGTTGACACTTGAAAGTGTCTGCTTACTGAAGACTAGAACAAGGAACAACTTTTCCAGGCCTGTGGGACAAGACTGTGTTTCTGTAGGAACGAGCTATTTCTCTTTGCAGTGTATCAGGAAATAGAAGGGAGACATGAGATACGGAAGTGGATTCAGCCTTACTCAGAAATTTCACCATTTCGTTCATGATAAATTATCCAGGACGGCTCCCAAAGTTGAATCAGGACAGAAGTTTCTTTACAATAAAATGACTTCTTCTTGCCTCCTAACGCCAAGAAGGCCCAGCACAGCCGTCACTTAGTTCCTTTCATTAACATGACGCTACAGGCAGTGTGGGGCAGTCCCATACATGTACAGCTGGTATTACAGTGGGATGCAGGCAAAGAACAGGATGCCTTCAAATGGCATGCTGACTACACAGCAGAATTGATGATTCTCCACCCAAGTAACCAGGCCTACGAGCCACGTTCTCATTCTGTGTCAGTCATTGCAGGCATTAGGCTCAATAGAGCAGCGCTTGGAAAAATGGCTCCCCACTGGCAAGTGCATAAGCAAGCAGAAGATTTTGGGAAATGCACTTGTTTGAGAGTGACAGGCTTGCAATTCGCGTTGGATCCAAAGTTGCAGAAGGGCAGAGAAGTCACTCGGGCGATAAAAACAGCCCATGCTAGTTACCAACCTCTGTGTCTCTTCTGTTGCATGCTTGACCAGGACCTTGTCTTTTCTACATCTCTGGGCTGGGCCTGGCATGCAGCTGCAGAATAAGAACAAGTAAGAAGTGGAAATCAGTCTTCTCTTATAAAAAAATCTGACGCAATGGGTACTTTTCCTTGCATATGGCCTGCCTCACATAAGGCCCCACATCAGGCCTCATACAGATTACAAGGTTATAATACAGAGTGTAGCTCCCCCCTCAGGAAACCATCCAGGATTTCTCTGCCAGTCATTGCACAGACCGTAAGGAAATGCACGTGCTTGCAATGCAGGCTCCCCACCCGTTCAATGGAGATGCAGTAGCTACTTACTCAGGGCTGTTCTCTTTTGTCTGAGCCAGCACTGCAGCCGTGGCCGTGGGTTCTGCTCGCGCTCTGCTGCAGCCCGTGTGACCGTCGGGCGCTCCCTTGGCTCCTGCTGCACCACTCCGCGTCCTCAGAGATGTGCACGGAGTAACTCCCGGTACCACGGTTGGCTAGAGGCTCCCCCATCACACCTGGAAGGTTTTCATCTCGACTGCGAACAACCCAACGCCTCCCCTGCCTGTACCTCAGGCGAGGTGGCTCTGCCCACACCGTGCCCTGTGCAGGCTTTGCGCCGGAAGGTAGCCACGTTCTTCGTGCAACGCTCTAGCCAAACAGAAGCTGCTGAGGCATCTCGTCCCCGCTCCTGCCGTTTGGCTCCGCTTGGAAATGGAGCTGGCTGTCCAAGGCAAGAGGCAAAACATGTCCAGGTGTGTGCAAACATTTTACTTAGCTATTAAAACTGCTGAATGGAAAGTGTGTGGGAAATAGCTAGGTGGAAGCCCCAGAAAATACTAATAAAGGTAATGAGGGGATGACCCAGAAAATCAATATCTGCCACCTGGCTTTACTTGCTCCCATCTTACACACACTTCTGGGCAGGCAAGCTTGTGTTCAGGCCACACCTAGAGCCCAGTTTAATGGGATTTCTCCTAGGAAATATTGCATTTGGCTAAATTCTAGATAAAATTTATCTGCAGAAATTTTTATCTTCTTCATAAAAATTTATCTTCTTGAATACAAACAGGGAAAGCCAGTAATAGAATACTACAGCAAAGTGTATTTGGAGGATTTCAACGTGTGTTATCTTTAATCTACCCTCCTGCAATCATTATATCCTTGCATGCTACCGAAGGCAAAAAAAAGGAAAACTTTAAGCTTCCAAAAAAGAAGAAAAAAAAATCTGAATGTTCATCTGAATGTTTAATTCAAATAAATGTAGTGGCCTGTTACTCAGTCCCTGGAACAGCTCCATGCAAAATGAGTAAGAGAGCATGCTTGACTCAGTAAAGTTCATTTCTTCCTGGTATTCATACAATCAATGACACAAAACATCATGACATCAAAGATAAGGCCTAAATGTTCTTTGGCTAAACATTACGAAATAGCCCTCTAACTCCTCCCCAGAAAGCTACAAGCCCTGGCCTCATCTTTATCCTCCTGCCCCGAGGCTCTGAAAATCTGCAGTTTCCCAGCAGGGCCAAGCCACCTGACAAAATCCACCCAGGTGTGGTCAGTGAGTTTTGTAGAATCTCAACGCATATTCACAACGGCAAGTGGATCAGTCGAGTGTGGGCAGACCAGACCTGTTTCTCAGAGAGATAAAGCATTATGTTGCTGTCACTCTGTCTTCTCCAGCAAGGGGAAAACATGAAATGAGCTTTCTCGGTGCTCTCAGATTCACCACCTGAAGTAGTGAATCAGATCCAGGTTTCTGAGGATCAGAAACCAGGATCTGACTGTGGTCAAGTGCGTACAAAGGCCCTGGGTATAGAGAACATGCATGTGACTCTTGCCTGTGGCAGGCACAGAGATGACACTGGTTCTCATAGGCCCTCCCATCAGTGCAACATAGCAAATGTTTATTTAAAATGCAAATTGTTTGAGGAGGTGAGGAACACAAAGTCACTGAGAAAAAACATGGAAGAAATAGAGCTCGGTGTGTAGTTATTCAGATTTTCATATGGAAATCCACAGAGAATGGAAATAGGAACACACCAAGATGTACTACATTCAGCAACGCTGTCTTGTGTGCATGGTGCCTCATGCTGCCCTATGCTTTCAAAACTCGCCCGAGGAAAGAGCTTAACACACAGAAACACAAGGAAAGCTCCTTACTTTACTTTACACATGAGCAAAATCAAAGCTGTGATTAACAGCTAGGAGCAAACCACCCAGCAAAGTATTGCACTTTTTCAGTTTTGAAAGAGTTTATCCTTTTATTTATTTGTTTGTTTTTAACTGTGTTTAAACAAACATCATAAGTGAAATTCAAGCTGCTCCAGGAAGCCCTAAGTCCTTTGGTACAGACAGTTGCCTTCCTGCTGTGTGGTTTTGCACATCTACAAGTAATGTAGGTACAGAGCAGATCAAAAGCACCTCCCAGCTCTTTCTTTTAGGGAGGAAGATGCCACGGAGGTGATATGACATGGAAATGTGTTGTAGCACACAAATGCCTTCTTATATTTTGCTTTCAGGGAGCTTTGACTTCCATCAGCAGCAAACATTTCAAATAAATCACTTCCCCTTGGGTAGCACTAGTGATCACTGAGACAGGAAAATAAAGTCTCACTTGATTCACAGTGTCCATCCCAAAACTAAAACTTTCCATTGAAGAGTGCTATGTAATTGGAATTATCCATTACTGTTTCTTTTAAAAGACCAACGATGCCATTCCCAGATGCCAAATCACATCCGTGAGTTGTGAAATTTATTTCTATCCTGCTGTATGAAAGGTGAACAGATCTGCAGGAAAAGTCTGAACAGTAAAAACAGAAACTTTTTAAAAAGGTAAAGGAATTTCCCACCACAGGAGAGCTGTATTGTTCATAGCCATGAATAGTATTACTTCATCCATATAACAAGATAAACAAAGGAAAACCTTAAATATTCTGGAGACTGTCCAAATAAAAACCTGAATGTTGAATTGTTAACAGCTGTACCTTCATACGTGTTTCTGGTATAGAAACTATAAGAATAATTTGTGTAATTGTGTGAAACTGCTTTACAAGGTATTGAGTTCTTTTTGCACACCATTTGTAATTGCTCATACAATTAATGCAAATAGTTGCATAGACTTAATTCTCTCTACAGCAGCTTTGTGTTTGTTGGAGGAACTTCTTCAATCTTCTTTTATTTTATACAATCTTTGTTGCTGAGGCTGGTTTTAACAAAACTCAAAATTGTCCAGAACCATGGGAAAAAGTATGAGTACTCCAGAAACAGCAGCAGCAACTAGATAAAAATCCATCATTTCTCTCATCACGTTAACTCCAAGCATAGGCCATTAAACTCAGTTAGCAAGAGTGGAGGAATGAATGTGCTGCCTTCCTTAAGAGGAATCACTGTTATCTTAATTTATGTGGTTTGCTGTAAACCACCCTTCACTATGAGCCACTTTTATCTTCCATGGGGAAAATGCTGGATGCACTGGCACCAATGGGAAATTTACCTTTACCTTGCGTGGGCCAATATTTAGCTTTGCAAAGGTATACAGTGTCATCACAAAATGTCATCCCTAATTAACAAACCAGAAGAAAAAAACAAAGAAAAAAAAAGAGCTATGAAACCAGGAGTAGTCCTGTAGTGGGTTGAGAGTGCTTAGAACCGTATATGCCCCTTGCACAAAACTTGGGCTTACGTAACGGAAGACATCAAACAAAAATCGTGGTGCTTTATTCCAAATGAGGACAGAGGGTGAAAAACTTTTTTAACCTCAGGATCGGGAGCTAGATCCAGCAAATGCTGTAGGGTGTGGAATGCAGTACGTGCCTAACCCCACAGAAATCTGTGGAAGATGAAACTCCTCGATACTTCTGAACACCTAGGATAATTTTGCGGCACCCGTAAATACATTATACCACTAAATACCAATAAATGCTCTTTGAAATCCGTATCTGCAAGAAGTAACTCTTCCCCCAACGGCCGCCACCACACGGCCGGGGCGTGGCCGCCCGCCCAACGGCCACTCCCCAAAGGCCGCCCCGCA